TGAGGCCTACGGGACGGCATTTTGCTCTCTCATAGTAGAATAGCAAGTACTCTAAATCGTTTTAAACACTTTTTCTAAGCACACAAGGCTAAGGGGATCGTACCAAGCTCAAAGCCTCTATGTCGTTTGCGTGCCTGCAATCAGGACGGCTTACTGCTTTCTCATAGTTGAGTACGAAGTACTCGATCGTAATCGTTAAACACTTTTTCAAAACAAACACTGTCCGTGTGGCTGGTAATTCTCTGCCGTCAAAGAACATAATTTTTGTCAACATGACCTCATCAAGTTTGAGGGCCACGGGACGGACGGCCTTATGCTCTCTATAGAATACCAAGTACTCTAAATCGTTTACCACTTTTTTCGAAACAGGTCCACCTCGAAAAGGACGGCTTTCTGTTCTCCCGTAGAAGAATATCTACTGCTATAAATCGTTAAACACTTTTTCTAAACACATCTGCATTGGTCTTTGCACGTCGTATAAGGGAAGCTTAGGGTTCATTCTTACAGTAGAGCACATAGTGTTCCAAAGCCTCAACCTTCAAGTTTTTCCATACAAACGCAATAAGCTAGTAAAATTTAACGTGGCATATACCCACGTCAAAGTGTATGTATTCTGGACAAGCGGAGCGTTTGTAACGTATGGTATGACCTTTTGTACATAGCGTAAATAAATTTTATCTAAACAGTTCTGTTGATATAATGTAGATGTCCACTGTAAGATAGAATAAAATTGTCTAAGCTCAGCTCAGTCGTTTGTGTGTGTTTATTGTTACCCTACAATTGTAAGCACACTATTTTAAATTGTCTGTGACGTTCCAGGACTGAATAAACCTGTTCTAAACACATACGTGTCACCTGCGCACCGTCAGCGACAGGTTACTGCTGTCACAAAGCCTCCGGCGTCCATTTCCGAGAGTGAGCTTAGAATAGGACGGTCTGGGTATTGCTAGCCATGGCAGCTCGATAAAAATAAGTTTGTGCTGGCCTGCCCAGAAAAGCAGTTGAAGTTCTTGCCGCTGTGGCATCACAGTACGAGTGCAATTTGAAGAACGCGCGAGGGTTTTTGCGTATAGAGTCTTGAGCTTCGCACTCTTGGCAAGCACTATTTGGGATCATATCATATAGACTCCTCTGGATGCACTTCATTTTCGGGAAATAATGATATCTTATTTTATCATAATGACTGTTAGCGTCATTCATTTTCACATGGAAATGCGTGGTACCCGATGTTGACATCCTTCATTGCTATTCAAGGCAAGGACACCACTAAACGCGGCGGCTCCGTGAACATGCCCCTAAATGGAGGGATACAGCTCGCGCATGCCACGACCCTGTTCATCTATAAGGGCCCGTTCACACTGATACATTCGGCGCAAATGCACTTCGATGGCAGCGAGATCCGCTGGAGCAGCCCTTACCGCACCGTTAGGGCCCCGGACTAATTTTTGCTGCTGCTGCTGTTGCTGCTGCTGCCGGATTCTCTCACCGCGAACGAATAGGAGAGAAAGTCGAAAATTCGAAAAAAAAAATCGGCGGCGCGCTCGTAACATCGCCGTGACCGAAGACTCTATACCAACTGCGAAGTTTCCCATAAGCACTCTTATTCTCGGCAAACGTCAAGAGGCTGTCCTCGCGAGTAAAACAGTATATAAATGTCAACCTACACATTTACGTGCGCCATGTTGGGACCTCGCCGAACGGGTCTCATCACCTCAACGTAGTTCACACATGCACATCGATCGTACGACGTGTGGGCTGATGTAATCGGTTTGAAATTTATTAGGAACGTGACGGCGACGGCGGAAATAGCCTTCGACTGTCCATAGCAAGGTTCTCAAACTCAGCTCATCGGGTGGGCCTCAGTGATGTAATTTAGCGCCACAAGGGCAGGGAAAATGAGCCAGAGTTGGATGGGGGGGGGGGGGGGGGGACGTTGTAAGAAATTTGAACAAAATGTCACCTAACGTTGCTATTTCAAAGAACGCCTTGTTGCCCGTGTGCTATATATGGGTAATTTTTGAAGGAGATTTTACGTCAGGTTTCGAAAAACACATGCTGATTGCCACGACTAAAATATGGACGCCAATTCGCAAATACAGAGTTCCGGTTCCACGGTAATGTTTCAACTGTAGCTGACCGCTTCGAATGCCTTGCAAAAAAGAAAAAAAATGCTTGATAGCAATGCCGTCCCCGTAGCTTGCGCGAACAAAGCACTATTATTTGCAATAGGAGAGAAAGCGACGCGCACACTAAGTAAAGTCACAACACTTTATTACGCTTGAGACCGTGGGCCGCACGTTTGGGACTTGTGATCGCAACCCAAGCAAGGGGCAACAATGAACCAATGAACAGTTTGAAGCAAGTATATAACGCGTTTGTCAGCCCTCCGTAAAGGCATATGTGTATCAGTTTCCATACACATTTTTAGCCCGGTTACAGTTACACTTCTAGAACACTCTACCATGGTGTTGCATTCATGACAGGCTCAACAGAAATGATTGACTGCGAAAGCCCGGGTACTTTGCAGCAATGGTGACTTCGTGGAAAGGTATAAGATGCTGTTTTTGTAGTCGCTTATCTAAAAGGCTAATTGGAAAGTTAATTTCGTTTTCACAGAAGCTTTTATTGCTTGTATTGCAAGTACAGCCGTTTGCATAAGCAGCCGAACTCTGAAATATTAGCGGATCGGAGTAGGAGGCTCTTGTAAATGCTTTCAGCTAGCTGTTCCATTCAGTAATTAGCATCATCAGCCGTACGACGTTCTGGCATGATTTATTGTAATTTTCTGTAAACAGCGATGGCTTTGAGCTCTCCCATAGCAAGTAGAATACCAAGTACCCTAAATCGTAAACCACTCTTTCTATACACACAGGTCCTATGTTCTTTCAGGTGGATGTTATCAACTCTCTCTTAGTAGAGTACCTAATTTTCTCGTGATGCTATGAGCAGACAGATAATCGCCAACCCCACTTCCCCTAATAGTGACATACACAGCACGAAGTTTGGGAGAAGCACGGCTAAAGCACAAAACATTGTCAGAGCAAATCACTGAAAGGAATCTATGACGTGATTATGAAGATTTCTTTCGTAGAAAACCGGGTCCCAGGAGACAGACAGACAGACAGACAGACAGACAGACGTACGGACGGACGGACAAACAGACGGACGATTCACGGTTTACCGACAAAACCCTCCGGCGCTTCGCCCCATTCATCATCATTGACTCCGTGGATATGCTGTGATTTTTTGTAATTTTTCTTTTCACAGCTATCAACACGGACACGTATGCAATATTTAAATTAAAGGGGTCCTGAAACACTTTTTTGAGTAACCATGAAATTAATTCTCTGAAAAATCGTCTTGCCTCACAAATTCATTGACGCAAAATTCTTAGGAATACGTCCAGTACGAGCGGAGTTAAAAGATTTGTCACACGCTGCAATCGCATTCTCTCTTCTCTCGTTCCAACGAACGCGCTGGAACCTAAGCAGGGAAGAATGGGAGGGGCAAGCGAAAATTGTCACGCACGCCTCAAGTCCTTGAGCCCTTTTTTTTTTTTCTTCGAATGCGTGGCTTTTTCGGTGTGATCGCGCGTGCACAAGTCGCGGCATCCCGCGATGATATCTGTAACGACCGAGCGCGCCATGTTCAAATCAGCCAATGGCTGATAGATAGGCTTACTACGAGTGGTTTTTGGGCTTATTCCGTGGTTTGTCGAGAGAATAAAAAGCAATTTTCAGCTCACTTTGATGATATATTGTTGAATTAAAGGCCGCGTGCTGCGCTATATTATTTGGCTTGAGGGTTGTCGGAAGCCTCTACTACCGATCGGCAGCGTTTTCTGACCATACTCAGAAAGTGTTTCAGGGCCCCTTTAAGGTAAATGACCGCAATCGCCTCGTATTTATTCAAATGTTGCGGATGAGGTGGATACGCAAAAGAGAGAGGCAGCACGGGGCTACGCGAGGCTGCGCTCACCTCTCTCCATAAAGAGAGGACGCGGCGCCGAGCCAGAAAGCTAAGCGCTGGCGGGCTGCAATGCTTAAGGCCTGGCCCCACGTAACCGTCTCAGCGCGTCAGCGCTAGGCCTTTTGACGCCTGACTGCGTGAAACGCGTGCTCTCTCTCTCTCTCTCTCTCCATATAGGAAATGGTAGGCGCCACGTCAAATGGACACGCGCCGACGCACAGCAACGGATACGTGGGGTCTTTACGTGTGTTGCCATGCCCTCTCCCTGTCGAGAGAGAGAGAGCGCGCTGCGCGTAAAAAACCGCACGTTGTGATGCGCCCGTGTGGTCAGGCCTACTCAGGTGAATGCATAAGTGACGCTTGCGACTAAATTTAAATCTTGCTAAATTCTGCTGGCTTTAGGCTCTTCAATACTGGTAACTGGGACTTCAAATTAATAGAATAATTAACTATAACACCTAAAATCTATGCCTTACAGATAATATTGAGAAAATCTAAACGCCACTCGGCGAATCCCCAGCATAGGGTATGTGCCTGTGCTGATGTCAACCATGCCAAGAGGGCAACAATAACAACATTTCACTGTGTTTTCTTTAAGCGACGCTATAAGTTTCTGAATTTATTTCAATTTTTTTCTAGAGCTACGAGGTTTGAATTTGTCCCAATGCGCTTAAATTTGTTTCGTCCATAGGGGTATTTCTGTCACCCGCAGTGGGGTCGATGCACGTATCTCCTAGAATAAATCAACCGACCACGCCGACATTCTACAAGAAGATAACGATGCGAAGAAGGAAGTCCAAGGCAGACCCCAAAGGTGCGAACCAAGTTTAGGATTTACACCTGCTTCAAAGGTGATATCTGCTTTAGCGCGTAAACTAACAGCGTTTCCTTCTTCGAAGCGCATCGGCTTCGGAGAAAAACACTCCCGAAACCGAAAGTGAAGCCGGCACAAGGTACGATAACCGCCGCGCCGCCGCCAGCGACATCGTCTTTGCAGCGCTGCCGGTTTTTCAGACAAATAAAAAGTGCTGTCGTAGGAGTGCGGCTAGCATGCGCCCCGCGTGTTCGCAAGTCGTGCTCGACTAATTATTCGCCGACAGCTTTACGGTCTCGTCAACTGTCGTTTGTACGTTCCGTGTTCGACAGATCGCCGACTCTTTTCGATTCGTACCTCCGAAAAACAGAACGCCGCCGCATCGGCGGGCCTAAGCTGTCGTCTGCTCGCGGTGGGGGTCGTCCGGATCGTCTGCCTACGTGCCGTGGCCTTTTGCGAGGGGTGCGAAGGCAAGAACGTTGAACCGCTTTGCTGCGTGGTGGTCGGCTGTGTGTGTGGCGTCATTCTTCTGCGTGCGTGCATGCGAGTGTGAGGTACCGCGCCGCGATGTTGTATTCTACGTCCCTTCGTTCCTGACAGGCACGTCGGGGGTTTGTTTTGTGTCACCCTGGTTTCTCCAACGCAGCATTCAGGCTCGACGTGATCGCCATGAAGCTGGTCAACTTCAGGCGCAGCCGCATCATCAAGCTTGTGTGCGCCGCCGTCCTCCTCATATGCGTGGTCGCCTTCTTCCTGCCCAAGCCGACGGGTGATGAGTACTATCGTGAACGAGTAAGTCGCTTTTGGCCCATCGGTGTGGGGCGCGCCAACTTGTCGTTAGTGCATCCGAAACAGCGCGTCGGTCCCTTCAAGGAGCAGGAAGCGTACCCGCCGCCCATGCCGGTCTTCAGGAAGGACCGGACGCTGGGCAACTTCGAGCCCAAGTCGCACGAGACCCGCAAGGGACCCGGCGAAGGAGGCGTCGCCTACCACGTACCCGAGCGGGACCGCAACAGCGCGTCCGACTCCAACATGCAGTACGGCATGAACGTCGTGGCCAGCGATCACATCTCGCCCAACCGAAGCGTCCCCGACATGCGACTTGAAGAGTGAGTTTTGCCGCGTTCGCCACTTGTCAGTTAACCTGCGAGGTGTTACGTACACGTGCTCTATCGGTTTCACGCAGTGCATTGCTTAATCGCGATTAAGCCCGATCACGATCAAGTGGCTCAAGACTGATTGGTTCCCTTGTGCACCTTTGTCGAAAGAAGCCAATCATGATCGAACGATACATTCTAGTCAGGACCGATGGCAATCATCAGTCACGGGTTTCGGACGTACAAAAGTGCCATCACGGCTTTGTTTATTGGGGTGTGATGTCATCTTTCATTCATTGGCCTTGGCATGCGACTCGCCGCGAAAGCTAGCCGCCGTGCCAAGGAGTTCGAGGTATTCAGCTTAACGGTCCGGATCTGCCGGTGATTACGTCACATCACACACTAGTCTGCCGCGACCGCAGTTTCCCTCATTAATCTTGCTGTTTAGGGTCTAGCCAGGGTGAAGCGCGCTGCATTTTAAAGTCGAAGTTGGACACTGCGAGTACAACGCTTTGCACATTGTCTAGCATCACGCGTTAATAGCTCTCCACCGTGTGTGTATATTCTCCGCAATACATTTGCTGCCTTGATCAGACAAAGTTGGCATACAGATGAATGTAAATTAGCCTTCACTTAGATGATAACCATTTGCATATACAGAGGTGAATATTATTAACAACAGTGTACTGCACACGGTGCTACTGTTTTAAAAAATTTTGACACAGTGTCTAATTGCTCAATATACCCCTATTTTCAAATTTGCCTGCACTTTGTTTGACATACATTTAAGTAATGTGTCGTATACAGAACAAATGTGTCCATGTGTTTCAGTTTCTTTTGCTCAGACGATTGCTTCCGCATCCATTTCTCAATTCATTCCTTCTCCACGATGGATGGATGCTTTCCTTCTTTCTCTTGTCCCTCGTTATTGGCGCTGTTTTTTAAGTGAATCCATTTCTCATATTTTGTTTCAGGCAGGGAACTTTGGTTTGCATTTGGCTTTCACATTTCCTGTGTGATTTATTTACGACTAGACTTCGATCCTTTTATTAATGCCAGCTCCAGTTTCACTGCTACTGGCACAAAAGCTTTTGAGGACACGTCTGCTGGCACACACACACACAAAAAAACAAATAGAAAGCCGTCTCTGTAAGAGAACCTGGAGAGCAGCTGAATGGGTCGTGCAAGTTATTACAAGCACAGGTGCGCACGACAGTGGAGCTGTGGCAGCACAAAGCCTGTCCGCAAAGAAGTTGTCGCGTCGTCAGGTGTCAATTGACATCACTGGGAAAAGGTGAATGCTGGCGTACACGTGTAAATGCTATTATTGTGCCAATCAGAAAGATCGCATCTATAGAAAGCTTCAAGCTCGGTAGGAAAGCCTAATGAACATGCGAGTCGAGGCCCCAGATTGAAGCGTTTCTGTTGTTTCTTTGGCATCGTAATCTGCCGCCAGCTGTTAGTGCTGCACATTGCTTATATTTTCATCTTTTTACAAACCTTGCTGCTCCCATGCTGTGTTATTGTAACGCATGAACTAATAGTATGTTGGTTTTGTTGCGCTTAACAAAAAAAAGAAGACCTGGATTCGTTTTTTAGTCTTTTGTAACTCACGACAAATATGTATATGTAAAACCACAAACTACAGATGAATTCGATTCACATTAATTTTTTTTTTTCAGCTCAAAATTAGGGAAGGGATATGGGCTAAAGCAAAATCATAAGCTTTGCTTAGATTTGCAAACCAAAATGAGGCCGCTGCAAAAAAGAAAGTCATAAACATGAGTGCCTAATAGACTCTGAGTGTGCTCTTCACAATCAGAAGTAAATGGGTAGTAATTAGGCTGTGATAGCATTTATACAAAGAACTACTTTTGTATCAATTACATTTGCCAATTAAAAGAGGGGTACAAAGTCAGCCCCATACATGGGCATAATAAGGAGGGGGGGGGGGGGGGGAGCACTGCACAACCTTATGCTCTCACCTGCTTGATATTTCTATCTTAAGCTGAATTTTAGGCGCAAATGCTTGACTATCTTTTTATGGCATCCATTGTTCAGTGTTCTGTGTATAGCATTGCAAATGTCGATGCTCTTACCATTCAAAAGACAAGAATAATGGGGGCAAGAAAAAAGCAACCTCTTGCATTGCGTAATGCCACACCTGCCGCAGTAATGTGACTAATTCAGTTATAAGAATCGAGACGATGTTTATATTAAGCTGGCAGTTTTTAGGCTACCGTCTGTTTGGCATTGTTAGTTTTTAGCAGAGTTTAGAAATTCATGAAATCGCTTTCGTTTGATCATTGGTTGGCTGTACAGAAAGTGACCGTTTGCTCAACTGAGTGGACCAAACTCTGACCGCTTATGCCGTTTGTGAGGTAGAGCTCATTGAATAACAAAGATGGACTTTATTAAACCAGCTCAGTGAAATATGCGTAGCAAATGAATAGTAACCCTCCATAAGAGATTAAATGATCTTACAATTTTTATGAAGCCATCAGATAATGAAGTCTAAAAAGCAAGAACATGGTTATATCACTTTTAGTTTAGGTGTAGACGTTCTAACAAAAAAAGACATTTGGACAGGCGTTGTATGGTTGCATCTACAAGAATCGGCCCCTTGATTGGTTTTGATTTTCCTCTTACAGTATTGCATGTTTCGTGGCTTTCAACTTTTCATTACTTTGTAAATCATTTATGATCTGCCAAGCAGTGTATGGGATGACAAGGGAATCGGCATTATTATAAAGGTCAGAACAGCCATAGCAGTTAAATTTCTTTTTTCTTTTGAGACCTCACATAGTGCTAGGCACGTGTCTTGAAGCTGTTGTTGACAGCTGTTTTGTACAAGTTCATGAATCGCACCCTGCCCTAGTTTCTTTCTAGTGAATATGATCGCTTGCTTCTAGCTGTATTAGGGTCATAACTAACTAGCCAGCATTAGATTTTGTTGAAGTAGGGCTTAGCATACCTTGACAGCTGTGCTGTAGCAAAAAGAAGCACGGCAGGTACAATGGGCAGGCAGTTGTACCGGCATGCACACTGGCATCTCGTCACTGTGTTGATGTCCCTGGAGTGTTGCTTTTGCATTGAATATCACCCAACTTACCCAGTCTTGCATTCTATTGCAGCATAAAGAATGCAGATATAATATCATTTTTAGGTACAAAAGAGGTAATGTAAATTTTGTTTGTGGTTTATTTTGGTGAGTTAGGTTGTTGAAATGGCTTCAGCCAAGTTTGTAGGGAGCCTGAAATTTTGAAGCCGATTCAGTCCCTCCCTCAAGGGGTTACCATATCGGTCATGGAAGCATCTCCTTGTCTTGTTTCATTATGGCTCTGGCTTTTCCTTTCCCTCACCTTTCGGAGGCCGTGGACGTATACTAATGCCATTGTTCCTAGCGACCGGTTCACATTTGCTGGTGTGTTTAGAATGGGCCAGGTCTCAAGCAAGAGCCTCCTTCCCTGTTTCCTTTCTTTTTCTAGAATAGAAGCATCATTATATCGATCGTGTGGTCGTGCTTCGCACTGTGTTCTGCAAGAGCGCTGTGTTGCAGTTTAATTTTCCTGACCTCATTTTCAGCTTGGCGAATTTTCCCTGCGGAACGCATGTTCTCGCCTATGTAACTGGCTAGACACTCACAGCACGGCACCTTATGGACTACTCCTTGGTGTTGCTCCTTAGAAGGTCGATCTTTCTATAGATTTCTGTCAAAATGTTCATATTCGGTGAGTTGGTATTCTGTGGTTACCGCAAAACTGAAAATGCCAGATCTGGGACTATATATGTTACAGTGCAATTATTGTGTGTTCTCTTGCTCTCACAACACTACTTGTAACTTCTGTTGAAAAAAGATTCAAATGTTCAGCAACAGCAACACGAAACAACAAATTTTGGACCAATACATGTGTCCATGTGTACTTTGACTAAAAGCTTTGGTATTGCCCTTAGACACAGGTGGCAAGCCAATGCGCTGATGTGATGCAATCACACCAATCTCATGTTTGCATATAGAATGACTGTGAAAAGTGTGCTTCTCTACTTAGCATTGTTTGCACATCACTTGTCACAGCAAGCCATCAACAGAAAAGCACATCCAGATAGGTGCAAGCCTGTTAGATCGTGCATGCAATGCCTGATCAAACCAGCAGCTCTTTTGCGCATATATCAGCGGAGACACTTGCATTCTGTAAAAAATACAGTAAATATAATTCACTTATATCAAAGCCACATGTGACAAATTATTGTATATATTAAACAGCTGTAAAATCTCCTTCAATATAATTTTTATATGTAAAATATTTTATATATTTAATTATATATATCTAGAATGTCTTTGCGATCCCCTCCATATTTGATATACCTGGCTTTAACATCGACTCTGTTTCAATAAAGGCTGCCATTACAGTTAAACTTCAATGCACTCAATGCAGGTGCAAGTACTGGGACTATCCCGAGGACCTGCCAACGACAAGTGTGGTGGTGGTGTTCCACAACGAGGGCCTGTCGGTGCTCATGCGCACCGTCCACAGCGTCATCAACCGCTCGCCGCGCCAGTTTCTCAAGGAAGTGGTGCTCGTCGACGACTTCTCTGACAAAGGTGAGGCGCGGCAAGTGCCGTGTCGGATTTCCTGTGAACGCAGGATGTGTGTGCATGGCTAGAACGTACGGTTGTTGAAGGCACATACAAGTTGACTTTTTCATTCTTGGAACTGATGTAACGAGAGCAACAATAATGGGGTGGACTGCATGCGTTGGGTGGTCGTAGATTATTAATGGTAGCCTACTGCGATCTCTCGAAAGAAAGGTATACTATAAACTAACAAGCAAGCGGCCCCTTCCCCTTTTCAGGAAATTTGAAATATTATGCACCGGTGACCAAGAAAGCAACCCGCCTCCCTTCCTTTTATTGCCATTTTTTTTTTTAACCTGTTCTCTACTACAGAATCTTGCAGCAGTGCTTTCCGGTGACCATAGTTCTGTGAGTGTTTAGATGCATGCATGCACAGTTTCCTTGGAGTTGCACTCTGTGCTCTTGAAAATTGTTGCATGAATCGGCGTCCTTGCCCTGTGTCGTAAAACATGAAATTTCGTGCTACAATACCCTCTGGTTCAGTAAAAGCAGTAAATTCACACATGTCTACAAAGCATTTCATTGGAAGTACTGGTGGCCAATTTTATTAGATGGTTTTTTGCCACCTTCCTGAATTTCGGTTTGTTTCGGTTTGTTTTCATAAACCTGGATGTTTATGAAAGGGTTTCAACTTGAGTTCTTTATGTCGCATGGAAACAAGGGAATGAAAATGATATCTGTAAACTTTAGGGAAGAAAGCAGAGTGGGGCAGGGTACAAGTGGAAGTTCAGGGCTCGGTCGAAATGAAGAAGAAATGGGCAGGGCATGTAGCACATAGGCAAGATAACTACTGGTCTTCAAGAGTAACAGACTAAACTCCAAGAGAATGGCAAGCATGTGACAGGGAGGCAGAAAGTTAGTTGGGCAGATGAGATTAAAAAGTTTAAAGGCATAATGGGTTCACAGTAAGCACAGGACCAGACTTATTGGCAAAACATGGGAGAGGCCTTTGCCCTGCAGTGGGCAAAGTCAGGGTGATAATAATGACAAGCAGGCCTGATTTGTACATTGACAGCTCACTTAGATCAGGCCATGGAATGCAAACATGGACTAAGATGCAAAAAAAATGTTGTTTATTTTTTCTGCGATGTGTACATGCATGAATTTAGCTTGTGCACATATTACGAGGCCCGAACCATCTCCTCAAACCACATGAATTGCGATGCAAGGCAGTACTCTGAAGTTAATGCTTGCAAAATCTTTTATACTGTTGGCTTTTCATTTTTACATGGCTAAATTGTCAACACAGTACATGCACAAGGAGGGGACCACTTCTTTTGAACCATTTGTCAAGCTCTTGTGGATGTAAAGCACTGTCTAGAAAGCATTTTGCTGCAACTACTTTTTTGATTGATTTGTTATTCAAGATGAGAGAAATTGAAACGGCTTGTCGATAATGCTGTCAGGAGGCAAACTACACTGGTTATAGGCAGTTATTTTGAATATGAGAAGAAGGGCTTGGTTTTTTAATCAGTTCTGTACTAGTAAAGTGTCATTGCTAATTCACAAACTAATGTGACTGTGACCTGTAATTGTGCACTCTCCGTGCTTGTCCAACAGATATATTCGGTGAATCAAACTAACCACTGAACGATTACTGAGGCAGTTAACTTGCTAGTTAGTATTCAGCATCTAGCTAATTGTGGCTAAAAGAAGGCCCAAAATCGGTTCAGCTCAAGCTAAACCAACAATCAGAGCATTGTCGTATAATTTTTTTATGTTATTGACAGTCACTAGCTAACACTGATATACAACTGTAATAGATCGAACAACTGCACTAGTTGACTATGGAACCCTTTTGTGTATATTGCCTGCATCTATTTAAGTGTGTTCAAAGAATAATAACGCAAAATTCAAACGTAATAGCCTGTAGCTCGTTGAATAATATTCAACAGGTAGTCAATAAATTAGTCAAATAGCTAATGTCTTATGTGAATACATACATAATACATCCCCCATTCAAACAAAACAAAGAAAGAGAAAGTTTGCATGCACGGCTTTTAGACAGGCAGAAGCTAAAAGCATTTTAGTCTTCCTTTCGCTTTTTTTTTTTTTTCAGTGCCAGGAATCACATTTTAGTTGAAAGAGTCAACGCAGCCAGCGAAAAGTGAAACGTGTTTGCCATATAAAGTCCATAGCGTTTAGTTTCTTTTTGTTCAGCCTAGCTTGCCAGTCAAGTCTGAAGTGAATGAGAGAAAAACTGTAAATAAATATTACGTGCCAAAGCGAAAAGGCACAGATGGCTTTTTGATCCACTTCCGAGAGCCACAGTTGGTAGACGCGTCTGAAAGGATCCACCCGCTGCCACTGCTTCTTCGCTTCCGAGCTGCTGTCATCACTCTAGGTGCTGCTCAGAATTTCGCTTCTCTTTAGTTTTGAATCTTCCCTTCTCTCCCCCCTCATCCTGTGCTATGTTCTCGTGTTGTTCTGTGCAGCACTGACATGAGCTTGTGCGTTTGAATGAATGCTTTGGTTGTTGCTTCTCGTTCCACATTTGCTCTTTGCAATAGGTAGTTCTTGCTTGTTTTTGAAAAAGCCTATATTTTTAGAAAAAATGTCTCCCTTCTGTCTCATAAAGGGAACTTTTGCTATTTTTGCATGTAGTGAAGCAAGTTGAAAGAACTTTTATCTTTAATTTGTAAAAAACTTATTCCTTGGAATTATGTTGGTTATGGTGAAAGTATCTTAATTCTACATTAAAATGCCGTATTTAATCAAATATCGCATAGGTATAGACAAGTTTTTTTTCAAGGAGGAGGGGGGTTATTGAATCACCTTTTATGTTTGGTCGTTGGTGTGTTTATACGTGTGTGTTTACATACTCATGCAAAATTTTTTTGAATCGGGGATGTGTGTGGGGTGGGGGAGAATAAGTGTACTCGGACCTCTTCTGTGTCCCACCTGGCTACAACAACAGAACATTCTTATGGCAACGTTCAACTGTCAATAATGTTTTATGTGCAATAGAGCATCTAATATACCTCCCTTATCTTACCACTCTTACCTCTGAGCAACAGTGGCCAGTGGCCACTGTTGCTCAGTTTTGCATAAATCAATAATGCCAATTGTGCAGGCTGATGCTGATTCAGCACTGGTTAATGTTTTCTCTTGCTGACCAGTGTTTTCCTAGCATTTCTAAACCAGCGTTAATTATTGTTATGCAGCACTGGCTCGATACTGTCGAATTTTGGCTATAATAGCCATACGTTGGCTGAGTGAGCATGCTGGTTGATTGCAACTAATGCAGGCTACTCACCTCTATAACGGTGACGTTTTCACTTGTTTGCAAACTAATGGTGCTCTTGTATTTATACATACAATCACCTCAGTGTTTTCTGCCATAATATTTTTTTTTAAATTATTGCTTCGCTAAATAAAGTTTTTTCATTAAAAATAAAGTTTTTTCATTCCATTCCATTCGCCTGTTTCTTTAATAACATGCTTGCTTGCTTGCTTTGTTCACTTTGAAATTTTTGTCTTTAACTTCTTCAAAAGATTTTGTTGCATCCTTAGAGAAATATGCTATAGCCACCGTACATGCAGATTCTCACTTCATGTACTAGAAGCTGTATGAGGATGAAAAAATAGTCTTAAATGCTGGTTGAATTGCTGTCGTGAAGAACGTTACTTCAACAGATCATCTTACTGTGGTATTTTTATGAGATCAAGTGTATTATTTTTGGACACTGCGTTCCATGTTCAAAGTCATTTGATGCAGTCCTGCTTTGCCTATTTTTTTTCAATATCAATTTTGTAACTGAATACAAATATAGAATTTCCCTCTGAGTGAGAAAATATAGAAGAAACATGAGGTAGGCATTGAATCTGCAATAACCAGTTTAAGTTAACCCCGTTTGGTCATTCTCGTGAAAAAAAAAAGCCCTTCAGTGTAAGAACTGAGTGTCAGTGGACTAGCGTCTGCGCACTTACGCCTGCCTTAGGCTTGGTTTTTGTGCTAACACGTGTGTACTATTGTTGTTATCTGACATGATTTATGGCACCTGATCTCATTGTGTTTGGGCTTTTGACGGATGTTGGTGCAGTCTATGGGCAGGTAAAAGCTGCTTCTTCACTACATTCATGAATGCTTGATTGTGACCTAAGCCATTATTATTATTGTGATTATTTACACCAAAGATAGTTATCCATTGACACTTTCTTTACTTATTAATACATTTCTTGATGCTGAAGGGGGTAATGAAAGCGTGAACAGCTGTTTCAGGTTGTTCTCGGCTAGCAGCGTCATAGCAGCTGCGGTGCGTCTCCTCTCGAAAGTGACTCATGAGAAGAGAGGATGGCAGTGTAGTCTTTTACATCTGTGGCATTTCGATTAAGCGAGAAACCACAGGTATAGGCTGTGGTTACAGGACTGGGTAGTTCAATGCTGTTTAGCAGTGTTTGCTGGGGCACTGAATCTGTGAAGCTTACCGTTGCTGAAGGCACTGCCGTAACCAGCGTGGCGGGGTGGAGTTGGAGGGAGTTCAAGACCCCTCTTCCACAAGAAATTTTACATACAAGCACACATGCAAATGCATCAAAGTGCATGCATAAAGCATCGTTGACCTCCCACTCGGTAAATATTTTTGGCTGCTCCCCTATGTGAAGCCTTTTCACGTGTGTGAGAACGTGAAAGGGTGAGACAAAAATTGAGGCAATGCTTAACACTTGCTGCGTGTATTTTACGTGATAACTCGTGGTTTTTTTTCTAATGGAGCAATACAGCACGTCACACAGAGTAAGTGCAAAGAAATAAAAGAGCACTTATTCTATTTTCTGTGCACCGTACTTGCTGGCTGAATGTATGCTGATGGTAGTGCACTGTATAATCAGGGTACTTCAGCTCACCATGCCAAGATATCAAACAAGTAATGTTAGCTCCTGCCAAAAATCAAGGCCTAGGTTATTAGAGGGTGATTTCTTACAGAACCTGCTGAGGGAACGCAAAGGTTTCACAGAAATTGTCGCAAAGCTCCTCACAGAGCTTTGTGCAGAATTAATTGGCAGCCGGAGAGGAACGTGCAAATTCCACTTGCACTCACGTAATCTCGCAATAAGATAAAGCTACCGCGGAAACACTGGTGCCATATCATGCGTCACTGTGCAACTGTGCCATCCTCAGTAAGCCTCACAGATTAGGAGACGAATTGCTGGAAGATGTGACAGCTGTATGAGGAAAGCCAACTTTAGGGAATTTGCAACTGTCAAGCATCTCCATGACTTAGTAACGGCGCGGTATATCTTCTGTGTTTGAGCTGAAGAAGTGCAAAAGAAGACTGGGGTGCTTTGTTTACAAGTGCTGTCGCTTATTTAGGCTTATACTCCGTTACTGTTCTGAAAAACTGCCCACATAGTTCAGCAAATGCAGCCTGTGTGGTGCCACTAAGCCTACGCCTTAGCTAGTCTGACGTTCTTCGTTCTCTTACCATTGCTTGGATTTACGAATGTGCTTGTTATTATTTTAATCACATTTCACAGTTGCTGGCATCTGTACTGCTACTGACAGCGGTTTAGTTCTAAAATGTGCCCGTCGTGGCTGCTCATCTTGCACTGATGACAGCAGTTGCTGTCTACATCAGGCCTACTTCTCTAAGGTTTATTTTATGTATAACAGAATCGAAATGCAAAAGTATCAACCTCTTAGAATCTGTGTATCTTTAGCAGTGTGTATGTGGTTGGTCTGTGCTGAAGCTTTTGTGTCAACTTGTAAGAGTGTACTCGATTTAGGGTATATCAAAACCATAATTAAAAAACATTTTTTAGTAAACGAAAGATTAGAGGAGTATTTATCGACACAAAATTAAAGGAAGACTGACACAGACAAGCGCATACTCAGAATTGATATCGATTCTTGCACACTCCAAAGTACTGCATACTAACCCAGAATTCGTCCCTTACACCAACACGATGTCTCTTTACATCCGGCTGAGGACAAATTCTAGAATTACCAAAGCAAATCAAACTTGCTTGTATATATGGTAGAGTGAAGGAACAATGTCATATTTCCCAATAATATGCAAGGGTTTCAGTCATGTCACATGCCACATAATCCCTGTTCTTAGTGCAGTCAAACGTTATTATTACGAAGCTGCTTTAGACATGAAAATAGCTTCGTTATATTTTGAAGTTTGTTATAAATTTTTTATGTTAATATTAAATTGAAAGCAAGACTATGATTTTTTTACTTCGTGATAACTGATCATTCATTACATTGAAGTTTTACTGTAACATAGTTGTACAGCTCACGAATGCAAGCTTGGCTCACAGGTGGCAAAAAAAAAAATGTGCGACATTTCCGTTCTCAATTTTCAAGCAGTGCTTTCAGAGAGATCTGTTTATAATTATTCCTGTTGAGCCAGTGTTTAGCCTGCCACAAGTGAAAGGTATATTAGATACACAACTCATGCCTTGGAGAATTAAAATGGATTGCAGGGCAGTGTCTGTGCATGTTATTGGCAGTTCTCATGTTCTTGAATCTGAATCTTTTTGTAATCACGTGCTAACTAGCACATTAATAGACATCATCAATGAAGGTCAGACCACATTCTAGTGAAGACAAATACAGAATCTCACAATCTTGGCATAATGTGCAAGACAGTCATGGAGGATTGTGTTCTCAGTACACTGAAGAGGACAGCTTGAGGGTGATATGGAAAGTTGTCCTTTAGAGCAGAAATGCCAGTGGGGCGAAATATGTCAATGTTTTTGGTTTGGTATTGTAGTGGAAACTATCCCGCAGAACTTTTAAAAGCATTACCAACATGATGGTTAAATGCTGATACTTATTCTGGATTATGCATAACTGGTCAATCACTGAGATTCTCCCATTGATTGCACATTGTTTGAGCTTGTGGCTATCTTCACCCTTTCCTTTTACTGTGCATTAAGGATTCTACAAACTACCGCTAGCATACCAATAACACACAGACAAGAGACAGGCACCAAATTGAAGAGAGGTCTAATAAAAGTTAAGACGAAAATGAATTGAGGCCCAACAGACACTTCCATCATCCAGTCTTATCATTATTCTTATCTAAATTCTAGCACTGCCTGAGCTCATTCAGTCCATCACGATTCACATGCTACTTGTAGCGTACTGCAGACTGCGATAGCCGCGTAACTACAACAGGCCGGTTCTGAGCATTGATCTTGTGTCACGCGGTGACAAATGCCGGGTTTTCTTGCAAACATTGTGCAGGAAAAGTGAATGATTAAGGGGCCCTGCAACACTTTCACTAGTAATTATCAAATACCTTGACTATTGTGGTCTATTGGCTCGTGAATCGACTGATGCAAAAATTTTTAGAATCTGTCAAGTATAAGCAAAGTTACGGGGACTTGTCATGTGCTTTAGGCGCTTTCTCTCTTTCTCTTCCTTCGGCTCAACAAGTGCACTGAAAGTGACGTGGGGAGGGAGCTGACAAGGAAGCAAGAAGCTATGTCCCTACATCAGCACACATCATGAACTTGAGCACTTTCCCTCGTTTTCTTCAAGTGCAGAGAGACTAACTTGCCCACACTGCGAGGTCTTGCTGCATAGGCAAATTGCGGTGGCCGCAGTATCGATGTGGCCCGCAGTGTTCAATTCAACCGTGCCTGTTGGATGCATTACTGTTACGCAGCTGATTTTCGGTATATGACTTCATTTGTGAAGAAAAGAGCAAGTGGTTTGTGGCTGTCAGTGAAATTCAATTACGAGTAAACTTCCTGTTGTGTCCTGTGTCAAAATGTTTGGCTCGCAAGTTTGGGAGAGCCTCGACTATCAATCAGCAGCATTTCTGACCCTGATCGAAATATTTTGCAGGATTCTGTTAAAAAGGGAGATTTAATGCCATGCTGGAAAAAAAAATGAATGTCAGGAGCCACACAGTGTCTTGCGACGCAATCGAATTTTAGTAGATAGGAATCGGTGGAGTGCGTATTTACTTTCGCTAAGTGCTGCTTTTTGCTGCTGGCAGCAGGCAGCCTACTGTAGCTGGAATAGCTTATTTGATGTTTCTATTCGACATAGCAGGCTCTGTGATTGGGCTATTTAGTAATTTGTGATCTCGGAACGTAAGTGCTTGTCTCTGTCTTTATTGCCATCCACATTTTTGTACACTGTGACCCATGGTATTGCAGAGAATCTGAAGGGCGAGCTGGAGACTTACATCGCGCACAACTTCCCGCGTGGCCTGGTGCGCCTGCTGCGCAACAGCGAGCGTGAGGGCTTTGATCCGGTCGCGAAGCTATGGTGCCGAACAGTCGCGCGGTGACGTGGTCCTCTTCCTGGACGCCCACTGTGAGGTGGGCATCAACTGGCTGCCTCCGCTGCTGGCACCCATCAGGGCAAACAGGTTAGAGGGAGAGAGTTCTCTTTCGAAACACTGGGAATTGTGCACAGCATGTGGCTCTGTGAAGGGAGGGGGACTGAAGACCATAGGTCGGCAAGAAATGTGGAGCTCACTCAGACTCACTCATGAAATAAGTTTTAGCACTCGGGGCTCACTCGAACTTAGACTCGCCAAAGTTTTTCTTCGACCACACTTAATTGGACTCAGACTCGCTAAAACTTTGCTAAGCCAGACTCGCTTGGACTCAAACTCACCAGAATATTACTCTCCTGGACTCACTCGGACTCACACTCATGATTGACCTATCTGAGTGAGTCAACCGATCAGTCCGAGTGAGTCAACCGAGTAAGTTTGCCGACCCTATGTACGGGGCAGACGAATACCTGGTAAGAAGACAATCTTTTATGCCCTGTTAGTTGGTCTTTTGCTGTTGCAGCTCTGTAGAATGAACGTGTGGGCCAGGTTGGGATCGTTTTGTCTGCTGTCAACGCGACATGTGCTGGGTGAGAGGCAAAATAACTGGGACATGCACATTGCCACGTTGTACCTGAAGTTTGAAATTGCTGCGTGTGCACTCACGAGCGCTATAAATACAAGTACTGTAGGCGTGCCGAAGAAAATGCAATTTATTTGTAATTCGACTGCACGAACTGAAATTGACAAGTCCGCATTAGAGTTTCCATAGCAGATTTTGAACTGCGGTTGTCAGATTCAATTAATAATAGCAGGTGGAAAAGAAAATAGGCATTGTCCTAGATGTCCTGGTCTTTATTCTTTGTTCATTTCCTTGAGAGTAGCCCACAGTTTTCTTTGCAACAAATAAATGCAGTGGTAAGGAGAAAAAGTGCAAAAAAAGAAAGTTTTGCAGTAAACATTTTTCATAGTATGTAAACAAAACACCTACAACAACTTCAAAACATGTATATTTTGTATTATTATTAAAACGGTAGTGTTAGAGAGCTTGTTTTGCAGAAATACCCACATCGGTGGCGGCGTCATTGGTTGTAAGTGAAGAATTGTCATCTTGTGCATGACCAAAAAAATCGAGAAAGATGCAAATAATATACGGGAAATATTGAGAAATTCTTGGTCCAAGTGGAGTTCGAACTCGAGTCGTTTGCTTGGCAAGTGTGTTCTACCACACTGCCACGCGTCTGCTTGTAGATATAGTGAAAATAACTTTCTCTGTTCGGAAATGCCATGAAAGTACCTTTCATGCTTTACAAATGCACGCTCCGTGTATACATGTTCACAATAGAACGTGAAATATTGCAGTAATAATGCGTGGTAAAAGTTTACATTGCCATCGAGTGTCGAAACATGTGATTATCATGATGACACCATGGTTTAAAGCCGGCCACCCACTGCATTTACTTAACGTATCAGGTGCCATATTGTAGGTAAGGCATGGGAGTGCTGCCAATCACTTGTGCATTGTGGGGGAAGCAGGCTTCATGTTTTTCAGAACTATTAGTGGTAATTACTTTTATAATCAAGTCTGGGATTGTCATATTTACATTACAGTTACTTTACATTTTCGTTTTGTTTATCATTTATTGATAGGAGTGGACATATTACCACATTTGCTTGAATATAGTGCAAATTTTTCTTCCCAATTTTTGCTACCTAAAGCCAACCCTCTTGTTGCAAATTAATACCAAGATTTTTTTTTCTTCGATATGACAAGTAGCCCCTCGCATTACAGTCGTGGTCGCGTTACAGTCAAGTGTATGTAGTAGTCCATTGTTATTAACGAGCGATAAACTAGGCCCTAGCATTCCCCAACAAAATTGGTACGATCTCCCGGCAAGAGTGTGTAGCAACCTCAAGGTAGTGTTGGCAACCATTTTTCATTATTGTGTCTATTCTGGATTACCAGGCGTCTTCTCATTGCAAGGACAGTGGTTTTGGCAGAGTAAAAGGTTAACACGTTATCATGCACAATATCATTTTTTATCTTGCTTACCGCTTCAACACTTCCTGGTACCACCACTGCAGGCGTGCCATGACCGTGCCGGTCATCGACGGTATCGACAAGGACACCTTTGAGTACCGGCCCGTGTACCACGGCCGTCAGCACTTTCGTGGCATCTTTGAGTGGGGCATGCTGTACAAGGAGATCGAGATCCCCGACGAGGAGATCAAGAGGCGCAAGTACCACAGCGAGCCCTACAAGTGAGTCATGCCCCCCCTCCCGATAATATTACTGTGAGGCGACGCTTATTCAAAAGCAGTGCGGATACCTTCAGATATTATAGCAGGAAAGGAAAGTGACATGGAAAAGCCCCTTAATTAGTAGTTCTGAGTAAAATGTTGAAGAGAGACCTAGGACTCCCCATCAAGTCAGTGGCTCTACCGGAGACAGAACCGGAAGGTGGCAAAGGCACATGAAAATTTTCGTTAACTGCTCAGAACTGCATAGAATTATACTACATTTCTTTTGGAACAATACATCAGGAAGTTGGCTTAGGTTACAATATTTGCGTCAAAGAGAATGTCACAGTAAAAAAAAAAAGCTATTCGTTTGTACCATGGTATGTACATAACCTTAACTCTTTGTAAGTTTTATGGTTCTGCAATGGCACTGAGGCTACCTGTAAAGCGAGCTATTCATTCTCAATCATATCAGGAAACCTTCTCAACAATGATATGTTCGTTGGTTTCAGTTAGTTCGAGTCTTTTAGTTGACCAGAGGAAACGCTCACCACCCGTTCACTTTGGACAGGTTGTAGACTGGTGAAACTGTAATGCGCAGCCGCGGTCTTTATCACAGGGTTAATCCCAGTGGCTCACAAGTCTTTCTCAGTTGATCGTTACATTAGCATAGAAACTTTAATTGTTGTTTGCCACTCATGTGTTCCCATCCTAAATTTTAGCCAACCACTCGTGAATACTGGCGGGGTTTTCCAAAAGAATTTGAATTTAAATTCTGTAATAACATCTGTTTCTGTTGAAAAGACAATGTATGCTATCACTGGGCCTGCGTGTGGCACTTCTTGAGGTACATTTTCACGTTTTTAGGTCGCCCACACATGCTGGTGGTCTCTTTGCCATCGATCGCAAGTATTTCCTTGAACTTGGCGGCTACGATCCTGGCCTGCTAGTCTGGGGTGGTGAGAACTTCGAGCTGTCCTTCAAGGTACATATTTGTGTCTGCCATTCTCCAATAACTGCCGTTTTCGAATAATTGTGGCCTTGTTAGCAGTCGGCTGTTTATGATATGGCAATCTGATCTTTTATCAATCTCACTTGTCATTTCACATTGTTGCCTTTGATTGTTCATTCTATTGTGACACCCATGAACTTTTAGAATGGCATGTCGTACTTTGTGCAGATTTGGCAGTGTGGAGGCATGATTTTCTGGGTACCTTGCTCGCGTGTCGGCCATGTCTACCGGGGCTTCATGCCCTACAGCTTTGGAAAGCTGGCACAGAAGCGAAAGGGACCCCTCATCACAGTGGTACGTATTGATAACGGTGTTTACAGTGAGCCTGTCTGAATATACGAGCACTTCAAATGCTCTAGTTGATATTGCAGTATTTGAGTTCGCTTTAACGGAACTTAAAATGTCCGAAACTTATGAGTATTCGAAGTGAAGGAGCAGGCGTACCTCACCACATAAAACTTACTTAAAAAAGTTGTTTCAGTGATGTGAACGGGCACTATGCCACGAAGCCATCTTTTGAAGAGAAAATTTAGCATTGTTGTGAAGTCGCATTTCAAGATTGTGTGTGTGTTATCTGTGCCATGGTTGGTGTATATTTAAAGTTTAAAAGTGTGTTATACTGGCTTATAGGGGCTAAGTATGGCAAACTTTAAATTGTAGTGTATTTTGTCACCGACTACTTGCACCCTTCTTCAATCCAAATCTTGCCCCTATTTGAGTTTGCTTTGAAATTATTCAATGCTATACTAATTAGCATTTACTTTGACTTAGCATGAAATCAAAAAGGTTTCAAATATATTTACACAAGCCTAGTTTTTTTTTTTTTTGGTATTCACGCACACCATGGGGACATAGTGGCCATGGTGTTTTGCTGTTGAGCATGAGGTCACAGGCTCGATACCTTGCCACATTTTGCTGGGTTAGAAAAGCGAAATTGCTCGTGCTTTGATAACAGGTGCAAGCTGCGACAATCCCAGATTGCTGAAATTACCTTGAAGGGCCCCTAAACCACCGAAAGACGCTCACATGCTCCTCTCTGTGCCTTTCCTTTATCGAGAACACTTTTCATGATGTCAACTGACGCTGTGTACAATAAAATTATGCTGTGTACAAGAGACGCTGTCATGTGGCGAAATAAAGCCTGTTTTCTGCTAGCACATGCACGCGCCTGTTGCGTTGCGTTTCCACCTCGGACGCTGAGGAAGGGCACTAGGAGAGGTGGTCAAACAAGCCGACGAATGCAGCCTAGCGAAGGGAAGAGCAAAACAAGGAAACCCGTGGGACTTGTGGGGTCTCATTGTGGCAAGAGCGCCAGGCTCTTGGAGAGAACAGACACAGCAGATGCGGTCTGTCCAAGCCAAACCAAGCACACGTTTATTTAACTAATTTAGAACGACCATATCGTCCGCTAAATTATTATAACATCAATCTCGAACAACATACTAAGACATCCTTACACATTAATAAATAACACTCAACAACAACATGACAAACAAGGCGGTGTCGCCAACGCCTGACTCACCACTGGGGGCCCCCGGCAGACGGCCCGCGGTGCCATGCACCGGGGAGGCATTGCGAGAGACAACCGTTCGCCCGAAATGCCACCAGCCGAAGAGCGAAAAACAGCTTATTTCTTGCACGCTGCCACCAAGGCTTCCCGCCAGGCGTTGCCGCCGGTGCTAACGCTCCAAGAGCCATGATGATGATGGTGGCGATGAATGCTCACGAGCACAACGCCACCTACTGCCGGTAGTTGTAACCCGAAATGCCGCTTCTGCCCGAGACACGTGCGCCACGCGGCGCAAACAACTTTACAGGTGGGTGGCAGCACCCCCACAGACTCCACCAGTATTCACTGCAGACTTGTACACAACCGTAACGCCACATCTACATTTCAGCCTCTAGATGTTTTAGAGGCCCTTTAAGAGCCCTTTCAATATGGCATCTCTCAGGGCCTCAATATTTTGTTTGTGTCCCTAAAATCAAGATTGATCGGTGAAGGCCGGGAAACAAAAGTGGGCTTCTTTTCCGAGTTGGAAAGCCTACCGCTGTAAAAGGGAGCTGGCTGGTGATTGTCGGTGCAAAACGGAAAGGCCGTGGCTCTAGCTTGAAGGGTTTATCTCCATAATGAGAGAGTATCTCTCACTGCAAAATGTCGTAAAAGTAAGTAGCTATAAATGTAAGACTCAAAGGCTGCAGCATTAAACCTGGAGTATTGCTGAAGGACTATTACTGTAAAATGGGGTGTGGTAAACACTAGAAGAGAGGCATCGCCACTGCAAAAATAGTGGTTGCAGCTGTGAAACGTAAATGTGCACAACTCCGAAAGTGACCATTACTGTGAAATGGAGGTACTACTGCATAAAGGGAGCAGCTAATGCTCTAAAAAGAAGTAATACTGTAAAAAGAAAGTAGCTATTCTATCGAAGCTTGTATTGACTGGTGGTGGTAGTGGTTAGAAGAGGAAGAAGGCAGCTAATTTCTACAGCCCGGTGGGGAGCACAGCGCAGTGCCTATGTATTGACTGGCCTGTGTAGCTGATGGTATTCCAGAAAACCCTCCTCACCCACAGCTGGCATGAGCTCTAAGGGATAAATAAACGAAAATAAATTTATCTTTGGGGCTCGGGTTTGAACTGGGGTTCCTGTGCCCTGAAAGTGAGTGCCTTTAACACTAGACCGTGTGCTGTGAAACGTAAAGCCCCATGCTTGCCCAACAGGAACTGAACTGAGGCATACAAGTGCATGCATGCGATAATGCAAAGAATACTTTGGAAGCACGACAGCTGCTGTGGGCTTTGCATTGCAACAGTTTGTGTCCGTTGTACTGGCTGATGAACACGGAAAAAACACTAAAGACACCATGCTGATCCTGCCCGAAAATAGCATCGCGGAGCTGCTGGGACATATAAAAGAAATGAACGCATTACATCAGGCACGCCCAAACAAGCTTAGGGTGCCCCCGTTTTCCTGATTGGTGAAAAACTCCTGAATTTTTATCTCTCTTTCGTTCTAGTTTTCTTACTGTATAGTGGGGTAGCTGGCACTGCTAAATTGAAGGGATGTTGCCCTAAAATTATAACTGACCTGCCTCACTACTGCTTTACTGGACCCCCAACTTCTTTTTGTATATTAGACTTGTGTGAATAGTGAATTGTAGGTTCTAAGCAAATTCAAAGCAAATAGTGATTAGGTATAAATAATTTCTAATCGAATTTGAGCAGTATGTGTACAAGTATCGTAACGAAGAATGGCCTTATTTATCATAAACCAACTATCCTACACATTATATACATATTTTTCATTGATATAAGGCCTGTGCATATGTCACTTTTTTTTGGTTCAAAGGAAGTGAAAGGGGCGTTGAATACTAGCAGGATATGACTTTGGGTAGAATGGAGGTGATAACATGTAAAATATTTCGCATTTAAAAATTTGCTCAGAGCATAAAAACAGTATAACAAGTTTTTAAACTTAAAGAATGGTGTAGCAGTATGAGCAATGTTCATTTAAACATGAAATGAGTCTTTGTGGCAGCATAAATTTTTTTATAAATGTTTTCACGGCTAAGCACCTCTAAACTGCAGTGAAACCACTTTTACAGAATGTTGAATGCAGATTAATGTGCACCTATTCATTCATTTCGAATACTTTGAAAATTTGAATAATTTCTATTTGAATACTGTAATAGTCATTCAAAGCATTCGAATATTCATACAAGCTTATTGAAAACACCTGCAACCTCGTTCTGCTTCCTCGCAACCCGTTCGCAGAATTACAAGCGGGTGGTGGAGGTGTGGATGGACGAGTACAAGGAGTACTTCTACACCCGAGAGCCCCTGGCCACCTACTATGATGCCGGGGACCTAAAGCAGCAGCTGGCACTCCGCGAGAAGCTAAAGTGCAAGAGCTTCCGCTGGTTCATGAAGAACGTCGCATACGACGTGCTCAAGAACTTCCCCCTGCTGCCCAGGAATCTCTACTGGGGAGAGGCGAGTGGTCACGGTGTCTTTTTTTAAGGTTTATGGTGTGAAGTATAAACAAAACACAAGTTTGATAAAGATGAGACATGCGCACTAGCAGTGTTTTCAGCAGCAGAAAAAAAAAGGCTGCCCACATCTTCCCACGGGGGGGGGAACTCGAGTAAATGGGTCGCAGCGTGGGGGGGGGGGGGTATCGCGTGAATGTTGCATAATTAGGTATGGTTTGATAATGCTTAATTGTTATTTCATTCTATTTACTATTCTTTTTATGAATGAAGGAGAAGCGTTGCCTTCGATGAGTGGTAGGACGCTGATGTTGGGTTGTGTCCCACTACTGGTTGAAGGTACTGCTGCTTGCATCGCATCTACTCGAGTCAAGCATAGCATCAAGTCAAGCGAAAGCCATGCAAAGACGCCCTTGACTGAATTCAAAACGGGCGCTCCGCCGCTTCTATACACACTGCCCGCGTTCGAGGGAGAGGAGTACGGGGGAGAGATTCACACCCCCACTGCGCATGCTGGGCTTGCTGAATGCGTGATGGTGTCTTATCCTTTAATGGCTCCAGGAGCGACAGCTTTGCGGGTGTCTTCCTGGGCCGGCATGAGACGTGAGCATGCGCTGTGGTGGTGTGGAGGGTGCCACCGACGCCGGAGCACAACATCCGGCGACTAAATGCTCCGCATTTAAAAGAAAAAAAAACCTAATACCAACTATGTAAGTGAAACTCGTCACTTCCAATGTTAAATCAGAATCAGTCTTTTAAAAGAATCTACATAACTTAGTTACTAGCTTTACAGGTGCTTGGGCCCTAGATGGGAGCTTTCATGTACAGTATTAGCAAAGATTCAGAACTGCAATAAGTGGTGACAGTACTTGGCAAATGGCAGACTTAAGTAAAATGAGATTGCATCGGGTAAAATTCGAATGCATTGAAGTGCTGGAAATGAAGTAAATGTAAGCCAGTGGGCACTTCTAGTGAGTTGATTTTGCAGTTCTGGAATACTAATCAGATCTCAGGTTGCACCCGTGCAACTACCACCTATTATTTCAACTTCCAACGTTGGTGCTAAATAGCATTATTTGGTTTCAATTCAAGTATGGTAAAGGGTTCACGAACCGCTCTTTGTGCTTGGTGAGAAAACACATCCTAAAGAAAGTAGACACTGTTATGAACATCTCAGCCTAGTTTTGCGGTTGTGAGTGGCAACAAGGGCTCACAAGCCATGCGCAAAGTTACGACCTTAGGCACCTTCTTTTTGTACAGAGACCCTCTCTGGCCCTCTTCGGAACTGCTGGTGGTTGCTGCTTGACGTTGAACAGCAGATAACATGCTGTGCTGGCTAATAGCCATCGTAATTTGAGGGCGACGTTTGGGTCAGGCGCACTTTTTGCCACAAGGGGCCACCATGTGGCAGAACAGCGCTCCGTAGTCTGCTAACATTACACAGTATGCCACACTCATGCACAGGAATCACGAAGAGAGAGGGCAATTGCGTTTCATCATGCGCACTTAATCCTTTTGCTGTCGTTAGAAAAGAATAAAAACGTTCCAACATTACCTAACAACTGTTTTTTTTTAAACTAAATTTGTAGAAATTCTTTTTCTGAATAGAACGGTATCATCAATTCAATAGGGTTCCCTTGTTAACTAATCGCACAAAGAAAGATGACTTGAAGGTGGCTTCATGTTACGTCAGTATATAGAAAAATGGCTATAAACATAGACGAGCGTGGCCATTTAGCATCAAGAAACACAAGTATGAAGAGCATAGTCTTTGTTGGTTTCATGTGAGACCGGTTTTTGTTGATGAAGAGTCTACTCGTCATCTGTCATTTCATTACAAATTCTTATGATGACTACAAACTCATCAGCGGTAGCAAAAGGGTTAAGGAAAAGGTTACATGGCGCTTTTCCCTGCATTATCTCTCCCTGCTTAGCTTCTGGTGCATTTGTTGGGAAAGAGCAGAAAGAAAGTGTGGAAAGCTTGTAATTGATCCCTCTAACTTAGCTCTTGCTCGACGGATCCGAGCAATTTTTGTGGCAACGAACTGTGATTCTGGGGTGATGCGATGATTATTACTCAGAAAAGCAGCCGGTACCCCTTTAACACGAACTTGTATTCCATTGCACGACCAAATCCCCCCTCCTCTCACCAGTCCTGCTTGGGGCGCCATGCTTGCTTGGAATTGTTGACTTTCACCGAGTTGAAAGCTGTGGCTTGTATTTTCTTCTACATTGACAATGCGATTGTCTCACGCTATCACCTGTCACTTTATGGATGCAGATCAGGCACGACGCTACCGACCAGTGTATCGATGCCATGGGTGCCCATCCGCCGTCCACGGCTGCGCTGACTACCTGTCACGGGACCGGAGGAAACCAGGTGTGTTTCTCTCACACTCCTTTATTGCTCCCTTCGAAGGAGTGCCGACTTTTGACTGTTTTCTTACTCATCTGAAGCATGCTTGCACTAGCTGACCCATTTGCATTGCTTGCTGCTTCCAAGGCATGTGTCATTTCTTATGACCTGCTTGCTTCTGTAGCAAATGGCACTGTCAAAAACTCCTTATGAAAGTTGAATATGAGGCAGGTTAGCTGTATATTATAGCTGTCTAATTTCTGCCACTATGGCAGTAGTTTTGACAGTATTGCAGTTTTAATGTAACATAAAAATTGTTATTGGTGATTTAGGCTCCTAATTAATAAATAAATAGACCAACGGCATAGCCAAGGATGGCACAGCCAGGCCATGACCACCAGGCCCATGCGCCCCCTCCCCCCCCTTTTTTTTTTCAAAGGAAATTTCTGCACGCTCCTGTAACTTATGCTAACAGAATATTTTTTTGTGAAGACGAACAGGTTATTAGAGATTTGGGAAAACCATATCCTTGCAATTTAAGCCGATTGTATGGTGTAGTTGCATTCGATGCGAAAACACCTTCATTACATCCTATGCTTACTACAGTCAAACACACTTCATAACAGTATTCAAGGGCCACAAAAATTTAGGTTACAGCAGATACTCAAACTGCGCGGCCTGTCAAGTACGGTAAGGGATAATCAGAGGTGGGGAGCCTGTAGTGGGTAGTGCCCGACCTCCTCCTGGCTGCAAATTACTGTCGTCTCCCTTAGATGTTGCGCTTGCCATTGCAGCTTTAAAGGGATCGACAAGTGGCCAGAATGCGTGACTAGATCTTGGTAGAAATGAAAAGACCGTGAACTATCGTGACAGATTCAGCGTACTTTTCATGCCAGTGAGTAGCGATTTATATTGGAATTATTCAAGTAGTTTTTAAAATTAACGCACACTGGCGTGATTGCATGGCTTAGCCGGAATAGCCTCGAAGCTGAAAATATGAACGAAGGTGATAATTTTGCTGCACCCAGCGACGCAGTCTCATGCTGTATTGCATGCCACATTGAAGTCCCGAAAAGTAGAGTATATATATTATTATCTATCCCCACTCTATTTCATGCTCCTTACGAGCAAAAAGAATTAACGCAGTGCGAAACGGTGCTGCCTTCGCAGTAACAGGTAGAATGCGACGAGTCATGGTGCACGTGCCTGCAGCGGATACACGCGCAGCACACTGCTGCGCTCCAACACGAACCGCGCTCAGCGCTCACAGTATGGAGCATGGGTCGTCACTTGGAGTTTAGGGCTTTATATTCACCATATATAAAAAAATTCTGATTACGAATGTGTCACAGCGTTCGCCTCATTACCATTTCGCAATCGCACTTTCACCAGTAAGCCTTCAGTTATGCTAAAGATCCACAAAAATTGGTTGTCAGTCCTTATGAAATCCTCGCTCCCATTTGACAATGCAAAGGAGAACACAGGCATGAGCATAGGAATTGAGTACGCCTATCCTTTGAGCCTCATATCCAACCTAGAGAACTGTGCCCACCTTGCATGGCTCGATCACCAGGAACCACCAATAAATGGCAAAATGGCTGCCATAGCCACAGCGTCAGGTTTTCTATCCCAGCTTAAAGCCGTGCTTTCCTCTCCCCAGCCTCGAGACGTCCTGGTGCCGCATAGTACGCTAGCGTATGCCACCGTGATCAAGCACACAGGCCATCTTTCAAACAGCCAGTGTTAAGAAGCCTGTATCGCAGAAAACCTAGTGTCATCCAAGATGTCGGCGGCGTTTATCTTGAGTGAAAAACAGTCAGCAGGCCCGATTAGGCCACATCTTTTGAAGCACAGCCACAGTGATTACCGTGGCAAACATCGCAAGTTTCTGGCGAATACTTCTCAAAGGACTGCTCAACCAGGGTCTCGGAACCAGTATCTTCATTGTATCCGTACACCACCTGAGCCTCTTAGCTAAATGTCCCTCTACTGGGTCTTACAGGAAGCTTTGCAATTTATTGCCTCATTGCAATCACTGCAACTCACTACCTGGTCTTTGTGATCGACGAATACTCCCAGCGTTAATGAGGACCTAGTGAGTGTGCTGTCGTGCTCAACTTGGTGAACTGGAATACCACTGCGTCGCATGCTTAGAGGTGAAGCCTAAACATCCTCAACATTTTATTCGTAACTGTGGCCTATTCAGCAAAAGAACAGCAGCCACAACTCACGGGGAAACTCGGGAATGTTCACAAAGACAGCTTCGTTGTAAAAGCACAGGGATGTCTCTTATACTAGAATGGAAGTTGCTGTGTTGCAATAAACGTACTAGATAAGTATGAGGGGTATTGGTGAAGACAGTGCTTGTGTTTTTGCCTCTGCATCCTGATCATCTTCAGCATCTCCATCTTGGCTCTGCCTAGGGAGGGTGAGAATGTAAACATTGTGAAGATTCGAAGCTGTGTTCTCGAAGACCTCGCATACGCTACTCTATGCATAGACAAAGGTGCGAGAGGGCCAGTAGCAACAGTCGTCACTTGTAGCTTATGTCAGCATTATGCAATTGGCTCCAACTCGCAGCAAGGCTCACTCATTCATGATCTTCCTTTTCGTTTCTTTGTTTTTCTTAATTCCTATAAAAACAATTTGTTAATTTCTCTGAGCTTTCATCGGCTTTCCTTGGTTGTTACTAACCATGTAACTGCGTAACCATGCTACAACATAAAACTACGTCTATGATCTGAATCCAACGGACAGTTAGGCCAAGAAAAGCATAGTGGGCAATAGTTGCCTTTATATGTAGTGTATTAATTACTGTATGAATTGATAATAAAGTAAACAAGAAAACACCCTTTCAGTCAGTGGGATCCAAATACACAATTTTCTAATTATCTATTCAGTACTCCACCAATTGAGTTGCAATAGAAGGTGCTGAGTAATACTTTTTGGAATTACACACACAAAACACCCAGCGAGGTGGATAGGGAAGTGCCTTTCATCGTGGCTCAATTGGTTGAGCATTGGACACGTAACTCAAAAAGAGTGCGGCTTGGGTCAAACAAATGGAAAGGGCGTGTTATCATCCCCTTTAATTAATTTAAATAATGAAGTGTATGTGAATTCCTTTATTGTTAAATGGGGAGGCAGAGGTCCTATGTGGAGATATATAGTTCAAGTGTTGCCAGACTGCCAGAATTGCTCACAATGTCTTAGAACTTTCCATTATGTATTTAGGCAGCAGTCATTTCTACTGATGTGATGTGCTGTCAATACTGTAGTTTGTCAGTTCTCCTAAACTATACTGATCAGGCCACCCCGAGTTCCTTAGTGTTCAAATAATAACTGTGAGTTTCTATCCATGAGCAGCTCTGCACGATAATTCGTGCACTACAAAGCCTGTATGGCCATTCGCCCTATATCGAATGCAGAACACTACCATAGTAAGTGGTGAAGGTCTGTGTGGTAGTAGAGACAAGAAATAATGTTCCCCATGCTTTCAGTGGCCAAACTGTTGGTTGGATTTGTTCTGTTGTGTATAACATAAAAATTAGCCCCTCGTTCACATCTATTCAACATAGTTTCTCGAAAGCATCGACAACTTCTCATATGGCAATCATCTGCTCGCATAGTCAGTCGCTGCTTACTCAGCTCCCCACTTCGAGCTGCATGCGCTTCGGGCCAGCTCCCTCCCAAGGCGGTGAAGGTTCCCAGAGTTTCTTCGTTCTCTTTGAAACTGACTGGACGGTCCCGTCGTCCCACCACGCTAGCGGGTCTTGCGACGACGCTCGCAGGTGTTCCGGCTCAACGCGGAAGGTCAACTAGGCCTGGGTGAGCGGTGCATGGATGCCAGTTCGCACAGCATGGACGTCGTGTACTGCTCGCTCGGAACCGTGGACGGTCCCTGGGAGTACAGCGTGGTGAGTACGATTGTGATTTTTAACGCAAAAGCGTTAAAGAGCTTGCATCGCAGAAATTGCGGTGGCGGCATTGGCCTCGTTGGTTGTGAGCGAAAAATTATCTTATGCGCGATCGAAAAATCTAGAATGATGCAAATAAAATAAATGATGAAAAAAATCTCGGGTCACAGTGGGGACCGAACCAAGGTCGTTTGCATGGCAAGTGTGTGTCCTACCACACGGCCATGCTTTTGCTTGTGAGTACAGTGAAATGAACTTCCTCTGCTCAGGAATGCAGCGAAAGTAGCTATGCTTTACAAACACTCACATCCTGTATATGTACATGCTTCGCAATGCAACATGAAATATTGCAGTAATAATGCTTAGCACAAGCACCCATTGCTAACAGGTGTCACAGCGTTTGATTATCATAATGGCTTCGTGGTTTAAAGCCAATAATTCACAACAAAAGGCACACACACTACTGCACTTATTCCCTTAAGGCTACATAGTGGGGGCATAGCAAATTCGAAAAAGTTTCATGTGCTAAGTGTTTGAAGTACACACTAGGAACAGGACATTGCTGTCGTGTTCAACTCCTAAAGGCAAATTTTTAGGCTTCCCTAAATTTTAACACACTCGTCAGTCATATTTGTGGTCACGTTATCGTCGCAAGCAAAGCCCTGTCCAACGAAACGACGCTATTACGTTTTGCGGAGCTGCGAAAAAAGACTGCGGTAGCTGAGAGGCGTACAGCTCAAACTTGTGGTTATAATTGGGGAAAACTTACCCCAGTTCAACTCTGTGTGATATCTGCAGAAACAGCATAGCTGCTCGACCTTGTGATTTTCTGCGATGTTTTGTGATCTTGCATGGGTGTCTGTGATTACGTTATTTGTAGAGTAGAGATGCACAAAAAAGGACGTGTGGCCGCCCGTGCAACGCCTGCACCTGCTACGGTGGCTTCAAGCTCTTATCATGCTTTAGCCGCACTTCCCCGTTTTTTTGTTTGGCTACCGTTTCATTCGTGTATGAGGCAGTTACGCCATCTATAGATGTACACTCAAACCTTGATAAAACGAACCCGGGTATAAGGAAAGATCAGTTATAACGAAGTATATAACGAAGTAAATGAAGAGTACTTTTGCATTAGACATAGTGCTAGGAATATACCTCAATAACAAATTTTTCTATATAATGAACTTATTTTTATGTAAGATGAAACTTCGTTACCATGAGGTTTGAGTGTATGTGGCAACTGGAATGTGACATCCAGCACGGAAACTCGTCCGTTGTAAAACCCAGCCCTAAAACAGATCCGCGGTTGGAGGTGGTGGTAAATAATCTTCTTATTCTCTCAACAACAACACATTAACCCAATGCAAGACATTTAAATACCTAGGAGTACATATATCTAGTGATCTGTCCTGGGCCCATCATATTCTGCAACTAACCAACTTCCTGCAATCGCCTATTAGGTTATCTATGCCGTAACCTATCATCAACATCCCCTGCAGTCAAACTACTTGCATATAAAACGTTGATTCGGTCCAAACTAGAATATGCATCTGCTATTTATGACAATGACCAAGTTAATATAAACAATTCCCTCGAATCAGTCCAGAACCCCGCTGCCAGGTTCATTATTTCCAATTATTCTTAGAGGTCAAGTGTATTCGTCCTAAAATCCCAGCTCTGCCTCCTCTCACTTTCTTCTCACCGCAACACTGCTCGTCTAATATTATTTTTTAGGTTTTTCCATTTCCTGCCTCCAGGAAACCAAATAACTCATTCGGCACATCGTTCCCCTCGCCACTCGCACCAAAATGCTGTGTATCTACCACGTGCACATATGGCCACCTACCAACGTTCATTTTTCCTGCATACTGCCGAAGAATGGAATGCCCTTCCATCCGATATCGCCCTCATCACCGACATTGCTCAATTCCAAACTGCCATTGAAGACCATCTTTCAAGTCATGAAACCTAAGCTGACCCGCCAGTTTTTTCGTTCGCCCACCCCTTATGTAATGTTCCATGTGGGACCTTTGAGGTATTAGGAATAAATGAATAAATAATGAAGCGGACATGACACGTAGCTTTACCTCGGAAGAATTCATTAATCGGCTGATAGCTTAAATTCTCGGTCACAGTTTGAGGTTTCTATTGTGCCTCTATTAGAACCACACCCTTTTAGCTCATTTGGATAGCCTTGCGATAGCATCGCCGAATTCATCCATTGCAGTGACAGTTCGCAGTGACAGTTATCAGAAAGAAATGTTGTGGAAGCGACTTGAAAAAATGCCACGCTTTTAGCAAGGACTTTGTTAAGCATTAAACTGCTAATCAATAGTTTCTCAGAAGTGAGAATGTGTGCAGTGCACCTGTTTTATTATTTAGCCTGTTTTGCAATTTTAAAAGCATTTCTGCGCTATTTATTTTTTGAATAAAGCATTTTTTTTTTTTCACAGTACCATGGAAAATTTATTAGAGGGGTTCTACAGCACATATATTTCTTGCATACTATGAAACTTTTTGGTCACTGTGCGTTTTTCACACTGTTGCTTGCAGGACACCAAGCACATGTACCACAAGACGCACAAGAAGTGCCTCACCTACAACAGGCGGAACTACAAGGTGCACCTCGAAAAGTGCGACGACGGCGACCTGAGCCAGCATTGGACGTTCCGCGAGATTCAGGACTCGTAGTGACACGAGCGGCAATGACACAGCCCCGCTCCGTAAACCTGTTGGTTGCCTTCACACGTGGTGCGCGGAGACTACTTGTCAGCTGCATCTTCTTTTTCTTTTTTTATTATATTTCACGTTTGGAAGACATCCTTTTTTTCTTTTTTTCAATTGACCTAGACTTGGGAGTTTCAAGGACAACGTCCACTGCGTGGCATTGTCGCTACCCGGGCGGCGCGGTGCGTACTACGGGTTCAGACGAGTGACCACTGAAGCGCTGCCGACTCGTTTGACTGCAATTGTGACTCAGTCGACTTCGCCCCTGCCTTCTCTTTCCCCCGTTTTCTGTTCTGTCATACAGCATCCGAGCTTGTAAACAGCCCCGATTCCGGTCCGGTGTGCTGCACTTAAATGTGCGCATGTGCATTGTTGAACAACGTATGCGACATTGACTTGTAGGAGGAAGTCATCATGAACTCGTCCTGGGATGAAGGCGTGCTGCTGCAGGTGCTAAGCGGGGCGAGACGACGCAGAAGAGAGATTTAACGTTTGTTTCCCCCCCTTTTTTTTTCTTGTGATGTCTTGTTCAATGTTACATTTCTCCACCTTTGACAGCAAGCTAACATTATTACTTTGTTTTTGTTTTTCAAGTGGAGCTTTAACTGTGCTGCTCAGTTTGTTTGGTATATCCCCCTTCTCTTTCAATTTTAAGTTTTGATAATTATTTACCACTTCAATCTAGCTAACGTCCTTGTTCTGCGTTTGCAGTGTCATTGCCCTGTTTTTGCCGGTGAATGATACGAGTTCGCAGTGATGTTTTTTTTTTCCACCGCAATCAGAGACTCAGTTTGATGGCTCAGCTGAGTTGACAGTTGTGTGAACTTTGTTTTTCTTTCCTTTGTTATTTTATTTGTTATCTATACCTGGCTCCTCTGTTCTTTCGTTATTTTTCCTCCTCATCTGCGCAACAGAACTGGAAAATACTTTCTTTCGTGGTAAAGTCTAAATCACTGACTAGAATTATTCCTAAGTTGTGTCAAATAAGTAATGTCTCGGTGGCATGGCTTTGACAAAATGTGTGCATATTTGCGGAGTCGAATCTTAAAAGCTAAAGGCTTACATTTTTGTCTCAAAACAGAAGTTGGTCCAAGAAATTCTCAGTTTTCTGGCCGTCAGTGAATAATGAAAATCAAATGCTCAAACTGGCCAAAAGAAAATAAAATGCACAGGAACCTACCTCAGTTAACTTTAATCTGACATTCTTTACAGGCCTTATATTGCAGTATTTTTTTATCTGAGGCCAAAGTTGTGAACGTGTGCATTTTCGGATCAGTATTCAAGCTCAATTATACTGTCTGGCTTAGTCTGGATTAAGCTTCAGTTTGGCATCAAGCTACCTTGCCTCAAGGAAAACTTTCTCCCGGAAAGTGATAAAACCTGCAAGAAACCCATTTTTATACATGACTTTCTTAATTATCAATATTGTTTTTGTGAATATTTTCTGCTCATCATCTTTAAAACGAATCTCCTGAGTGCTATTAGATGGGCTTTGCTGTTTAGATTCTGCTCAAGTAAGCAATGTTTTTTCACAGTGACTATGGATTGTTGCAAAGTCAAGTAAAATTCTGAAACCGTCCTTTAGCTGTGCAAAGCCAATGATGGCTCACATGGTCCAACATTAGAACATCGAGCCAACATCGGCACACCATCAGATTGGCCCACATTGGCCCACCGTCAGACGGGGCAATGTGGGCACACCACTTGTCCGAGTTGCAGCATTGCCTGGATTGTATGAATTTCCACAATGATATTGTCAGTAACCTCTCACCAGCTTTGATTTTCTATCTAATGTTATTTCACCGAACATTTCCAAAGCCATCTAACTGTTTCACTTTGGCTGGTTTCATTTTTTCTGTAGAACACTGAATGTTATTGTTGCTTAAGGTGATACTAAGGTTAAATTGTGACCATAGTGGTGCAATATTATCCAAAATGTGTGTAAGGTATTACATGTACTGTGAACGAGCAGTTTCAGCAAGTAACAAAAAGAAACTGTGTAGATAGCTGTACTAGATAGCCAGATGCTAGTGCAAAGATCTGGCACCATGTGTCACAGCTCAACATCTTATAAAAATATTTTAGGCAACAACAGTATGCAAATTATGTTGGGTATCAGCACAAAATACATTTTCGCTCGTTTATTGAATCGGTCGGCACAAAAATTCATAAATGCCACATCTTCATGCCTTTCTCTCTCTTTTTCTTGTTTTCACGTGGTGTCATCTGTGCGTAGGCCACTGACTGAGAGCTGAAGATTCAGCTATTCGGAACCCGAATGGCCTTCGTTACGTCACGTCGGCACTAGTGAGTTTCAATGCTGCACATATGCTTCCTGCAATGTTGTGCGTGCAAAATGCAAGCTTTCGCTTGAGCGCATACGCAGCAGTCGTCCTATTCAGCACAGTGGGAAACATGATGTTCTTATGTATGCAATGATGTTGGACGCTACGTACGCAGTACTATTGGGAACTTGCTTGTGCTATGGCGTGATGCAGAGCAAACTCTTTTAAAAATAGTCGCGTCGCAGTATGGCTAGGTATGGTGATACAATAATGTTGCCAAATATTACTGCTTATCTGGATTTTTATGACAAGAGCTCACTTACGCCGTCAGTAAAGGGCGGCTAGCACGTTGCACAAAATTTTGTGTTGCTTCCAGAAGCAATCGATGCCACAAGTTGTCTTTCATCACAAAGCAGATGTCAGCAAATTTCAAGAAGGTTAGCGAAACGATCTTGACTGATTCATCATTTGCTTCTAGCGTCTCTTTGTGACACGTAATTTTTGAGTGTTGAATGCCACTTGCTCAAACTTTGAACACCAGCTAGCAGAGCTTCGTTGTGTGCATTCACTGCTGCGTTTGTGCACAAGTTTAGTGCGATAACAATTTTCAGTTATGTATGAAAATCGGGTTCGAGCGTCAGTACTATTTTTTCTTCAGAAAGCATTTGTGTGTTCTCATTTTCGTGTATCTTTCATTAAAATACAGTGTATTCTATTTAAACAAAACCTGAAGAGACTTGAAAAACGTGTTCTATTTAACAGTAGTTCCACTTACAGAGAACTGAACAGAGCTGCAGATTTGTTTGAAACCAATCATATCTGAGTAATTTGCATTTAAGCACCAGTTTCGCTTATGATATTTTCGTTTACTGAGAGTCTGTGGTGAGAACACGTTAAACACGCAAATGGGTGGCGGTATCTTTTATTTTTGCCTCGTTTGTTTTGTGGGAGCGAATGATGATGGAAAAAAAACCTCAGTTAACTCATTTATTTGCTGACAGTATGCCTTTTTCCTTTATGTTTTGATTAAATGATGATGTTTGCAAGTACAGAGCCCAAGAATCACTTTTGGTCTGGGCAATGTAGGTGTATGTGTGATTGCATGGGATATGATTTTATTTTCTGTATTCTTGTGAAATCTCTAGATTTATTTCGCACAAGTTGTCATGTGCCTTGAGATATGTGTTGCAAATGTGCAAAAGAGAATGTTATGTAAATGTTTCAGTCAAGACTTCGTTCTATGGCATAGCTGCCTGATGATGTTGATATAACAGTTTTTGGCAGTTGAAGATGGAACATTGTGGGGCCAATAGAGGTACTGTATGGTGTTAAGAAAAATTCATCTGTTATGTGCTTTAGACTTCAGTGAGTTTAGAAGCACAAACCTTGGGACGTCATGGCTCAGTAACTCTGTCTCAGCGTGAACTGCATAATGTGCTGAATGCACAGAGAAATGACAGTCTGCGCAGTTTAGAAAATGCTATGCTGTCACGTGAGCAGGTCTTGGTCTTTATTTAGTCAATCTGTACCGAATGTTTCAGTATGAATGAAAGCATGAGTGATATTAGAGTATAATGGGTTTGAAAGCAAAATGCAGCCGTGCCCAATTTGTGTTGACTTGAGCACGCTTGAGAGACGTTTTCATTTGACATCGGACTTGCCGCTTTGGCACGTGTCTATAGCAATGTGCTCACAATGCACACGGTTATGAGTTTGATACCTCGTCGCTGTGACTGTATTCAAGTGGAGGGTAAATGTGAGAATGCTTGTATGTTCAGATTTAGGTGCGTGTTAAAAGGAATGTTTTCACCCGGCCGTGAGATTGATAGAGGCTCACGCTTACACTCTTTGGTCACGACATGAAGGACAGTGGATAGTCGAGAGTAACCCAAATTGCCCTGCCACAATGCCTCTAATGGCCTGCAACTTGCATCGAGATGTTAAAGTGCAGAATGCAGAATTTTTTTGTGGGTCTCTCGATAGTGTTATGAGATGCTCCCCTTCAAAAATAATCCCAGCTGAATAGAACTGGAATCTGTAAGCCCCACTAGCTCTTGTTTTAGGAATGTGGATATGAATCTATAAGACTTCAGCATTTCAGTGCTATTTAGGTTCACCTTTTTTAAAGTGCATTGCTAATAGGAGTGCACAATGCATTATCATAATTGGATTTGTTATTGGGGCACTCAAATGTTGAGAAGCTTGTGTTAAATATGAGATTTGTTTAAAACGTAAGGGGCGTCTTTCTGAAGTTTTGTTTTCTGCCCTAGTGCTGTAGTAAAAAAAAAAAATATTATGCTATTGAAATTCTTTAGCTACACCTTGAATGACATTAGGAGTGAAGCGTTGATGATGGCCCAAATGTGACGAAAGTGAAATGTTGTATAGTAGTGGATGAAGTCGTGCAGGCATTCTGTAAAGTGTAGACTCTTCATCGAATGTCATCTCAACCCATCTGTGATCTCTAAGCTTATTTCTGAATGGCGCGGAGTGTTTTGAATGCATGTCAACTTTTTGGCGGTAGACAACAATATGACTTGACATGGTTTCGTTATGATAAAGTAACCTGAGTGACTAACAAATGGTATCACTACCCTTCATTACCAATAAGGCTATTGAAATGCATTTGTGTGTTTTATACTTCTAGGATGCACATTTGTAATAGCCTGTTCTTGAGACTGTGAAATTCCCAATGTTTCTGTAGATGGGGGACTGAAAATTCATGCATCGTTTAACATCACTTTTTGTGTGTAAACAAACTTCATACTATTCTAGTACAAGGTGCAAAAAGATCGTTCTGTGTCCTGGAAGTTCCTACATGTCTGAAGTTGCCAATAGACACAGGCCCGTAGTCAGGGGGGTGCGCTAGCCCCCCCCCCCCCCCTTTTTCTTTCTCCCTGAAATTTGAATGGAGAAAAGTGTTTTGCCGAAAATAATGAAAATATGGGTTTTTCAACACCATCATTAAGTGCCCCCCCCCCCCCCAAAAAAAAAAAAAAAGTTCCTGGCTACGGGTCTGAGTAGACAGCCCTAACAAAGTTAGTATTGAGTGGTTAAAATTGGTGATTGCCTGTGTCGTAAAGAATTTTATAAAAGCTGAATTGTAAGGTGCAGTTCGCCTAATGCAGCCACCAAGAGTAATGTTGGTACCGCTGATAACAAGGTAACAATGGTGTGGTTAAAAGTGATAATGCAAATGCAACTCATAAGACTTGTGTAATCATAACACTTTTGCACATATTTCAAATGACCTTAAATGTAATTGTACACAGTTACAACTGTGGATGTTCTATTTTGTCACAAATCCTATTCCAGTTAAGTGCATTGGTGCGTGCATTTTATGCTGCGACTTTCACAGAATTACTAGTGTGACTTTTTTTTAGAATCTTGGTAGGCACAGGTGTTGACGTAATCAACTACCTGTATGCAAAATAGTGTTGTGATGCGTGTACCTCGTTTTTCTTTTGATTCTATAATGCAAGGTTTTGAAAACAAAGGTCATTTCAAGGAAAAGCATTCCAGCATCTGTAGTGTTGTCGTGCAATACATGTGGAACTCTGATGAAAATGCCGGCACAATTTTTACATGTTACACTTGTGTAATAAAATGCAATGACGGCCACGCCATGTGTATTATTTGTCTCATTCGCTTTTTTTATTGCACTGCCAGGCATCTTCAAGTCAAAGTTGTATGCTTTTCAAAGTTTTCCGAAGTGCAAACTCAGTAAATTGGGGTAAAGGCCACGTCCATAGTAATACTTAAAACAGCAGCGTGGTTGATCTAAGCATTTTGCTGAACTCTCCCCAATGTTTAGTTTAGGCTGAAGCTCTGGAATACGGATACGTCGGTTGACATAACAGCGCCCAATCGGCCGTAAGATGTTTCAGGTAAAGTTGACAATGCTCAAACACTTTGTTGTTGGATAAAGGTTTGTGCTAGAATTTGTTGGGTGCCTGGCCAAGCTCAGATTATGTAGTTTTTGTCAATGTCGGTTGAATGGACCTTATCGCAGTCGTTTAGGTGATTGTGTTAAACTCTCTTTGATATGTTTGGGCATGGCGGGTGAAGTCCATAACACAAACATTGGTACTGATAACAGAGAAAAAGATCTGTATAAGATATTGTGCAGTCACTCATATAATTTTACAGGTCATGTTCATAATACTCGAGCATCCTTTAATGGTGGATGTAGTGACTTTAGCATACGCGTCAGCTCAAGCCATTCCTCCCACCTTGAGATTTGTCAAGATTGACCGAAGTTTTGCATAATGGATAAAAGCGTGCCAATATTTTAACAGCCCTTTCGCTAACTACAGCCCGCGAGCACTAACGAAGTTCACAAACCGTCGCCGCTGACCCACTTACCCTGTTTCAGGCGGCACGGGGAAAAAGAACAGCGTCATTTGTCTTGTCGCGTACGTCCACCCCCGCGCGTCGTCTGCTAGATCGCTGCCTTCAATGCTCCTATCTGGTCATCCTCCGCCCTTTAATCCCGCCGTCATCGGGGAGCAAAACGCGATCCATCTTTTTACGGGCATTAAGGGCGACCCCGTTGCTAAGATTAGCGCAAGCAGGGCACACGCTGTTTTCTCGGCGAGCCAGCCGATCCCCGCTCGAGCGATGCCTGCCGCCGTAACTGTATACTACTCCATTCGTGCCGCCAGCGAGCCAGGCCAGGCCGGAGGATGACGTCATGGCTCTTGTGCGGAAGCAAGCAGCATATCGCGCCGCCAGGCCAGCGAGCAGCAGGCAAGCAGCAGCGCTAGTTGCAGGCCAGCGCACCGGAGAGGTCCGAGCCAAGCGTAGACGGGGGGTATTTCCCCTTGGCATGCTCCCCCGTAGCACTGTCGAAATTTCGTCGCTGCTTGCGGTTTCGTTACGCCGATGCCGTGCCGCCACCGTGGACCATTTGTGAGCGGCAGGGCGTGACGAGAGCGTCGGTTGAAGGAGCGTGTGTGTTGTGTGGTGGTGGCGTGCCGCTGTGGTGCGATCTGTCGGGAACCTCCGCGCAAGCACGGACGACTTCGCCGAGACCTGACCCCTTCGTCTTCGGCATCGCTTCACCCGCTTCTTAGAGACTGTTGTGTGACGTTTGCTCTCTTCGAATCGTCGTGGTGTTGTGCGGTGCGTCCACGGCTGGGGCTACGTACTGCGAGCATCTAGCGGGCCGCGTGTTTTATATTTTTTGTTTTCGAGGCTCCTCTGACCGGTGTAAAGGAGGGGGGTGATATCCCCTCCTTATTGTGCGTCCTTGCCTTCTCCTTCGATCCCCGTCTCGTCGGTGGTGTTTCTTCCCAACGGTGGCACGATGACGAAATGACAAGACGAGACGGATACTGAAGCAAGTTGCCGGTGCCGCGGTACCCTGGCACGTCAAGCCGCGCCGGTTTGAGCGGAGGTAAGGAAACCCTCAACGCGGGCTTGCTCTCCGCATGGTTTCTTTTATTGCACCATCGATGTGTCTGTTGCGCGCCGTTGCTGCTGCGACTGCACGTTACGCTCAGCGAGCACGGAGCTTTCGAAGAAAAACTCGAAAGCAAAGCGCCCATGCGCGCCAGTAGCAGCAACCAGCGATCGAGGTAAGCCCCCTGCGTTTCCCTTTCCCACACGCTGTTTTCGCTAGGCCTAATGCGTCATACGGCCGACGCTGCTGCTACAACGAGCGTTCGTCACGCGTTGACGGGCAGGTAGTGCGAAGCGGTAGGCGATGCGACGCACTGTAGTGCCCGCGATCGGTGGTGCCGGCTTGCGACGGTGAGCGCTTGGCGACCTTGCGAAAGTATTGCGAGATTGTTCTTTAGGTGATCTAGCGAGGATGGATTTTAAGAGGAGGAGAGGCATGCCCTGCTAAACAATTGAGCCCTCTGCCTTTTGCATTGCTTTCTGGCCTGCTGAAGGCTCGCGATACCGCCATCCCTCTCGGCAATGAATGTAATAACGCTGCCAAAAAAAAAAAAAAAAAAAGCCCTGCTCGCAGGCTCTGCAAGTGGGACGAACGCGCTATTTGGCACAGCGCCACTGTATGCGGTCTTCAGGTGTGCTGCGAATGCACTGCTGCTGGTGCGAGTGCGGTGATATTGGCCCTGGCCTCAAACTCGGGGGGGGGGGGGGGGAGCGAGGTGTTTTTGCACCGGGGTTGCGGAGGCCACGGGTAGGCCAAGCCGGTGTGCTCGGTATTGATTGAGAAAGGGAGGAAAGAAGGAACGGGAAAATGAGAAGGTGATGAGGGGGGGGGGGAGTATTTTCTGCCGGTCGTGCTTCGGCGCGCTGTGTGAGTCATCGCCGTCCTGCTACTTCAAACAGCCGTTGCTGTGCGTGTCGAAAGAGCGCTAGCGCCAAGCGGTCTCCTTTTCGGAAGCGCTGCTCCCTGTTCGATACGTGCGGTGCTCTGCGAAGGGTAGCCTCGGCGTTAGCTACGTTTCTCTTTAAGGCCTGGCTGTCAAGCTTGCCTTGTTTACGGCGACCGCGTGCATTAGTTGTTTCAGTGCAGGAGTGTGCCAACTTCTTTCGCGACGTGCGTGGTCGTGACGGTTCGAAGGACAACGGTTGTCCTTGCGTCCGAGAAACCGTCATTCGCACGACGTCACTCGCTCTAAGACGTCTTGGTGTCGCGTGCCTCAGGTTGCATTTTCTATCGCGATCGAGCACTGGTCGAATTTCTCGGACGCGTTTGACTGCCACTTGAGCGCGAACTGTCACAGCCGGGAAATTTCGATCTTCATCGGGTTCCATCGCGATCGAAAGCGCACCGAGCAAACTTGAATTCGCCGTGCGCAGCCGCATAAACGCTTGCACGGACTGTCATCTCAGCTACCCTCGGTATGAGTAGGCGTTGTTTGGAACAATAGGTGAAACGCTGTATCGATCCTTTCTTCGCCCTGATGCTGATACGACTGCACCGTTTATCGGGACACTCGCGACCTTGCTGGAACGACGGTGAAAGCTACGACCGAACGTCAGGTCGCGGGATCGGATCCCGGCCGCGGCGGCTTCGTTTCTCTGGAGACAAACGCTGTAGGCCCACGTGCTTAGATTTAGTTGCGCGTTTAAAGAGCCCTCAGATGGTCGCAATTTCCGGAGCCCTTATCTACGGCGTCTCTCATAATCATATCGTGGATTTGGAACGTTAAACCGCAACCGCTATCAACCTCGGGATAAAATCACGACAGTACATGTTGCTACAGCTTCAGAACCGAGGAAAGTTCTTCTTCACTCCCGGCCACGTGCTGTGTGTCTCTCTCTCTTTTGCACTAGCTGTATTTGCGCAGCAATCATAATGTGGTTTAGCGAACGCTGCCTGCAGGCCAGACGGTTTTTCCTGTCATGACGTCTGAGCTCTTCTCCATTTTCACGAAGGACGTTGCAACAACGTCGGTTGCGATTGCTTCCTGTCCGCCCTGTCAATTGTTTGCACCTTTATTTTTTTTACCTTCTTCAGGCAGATGTATAGGTGGCCCAGCTGACTTTCCCCTTTCGACGCTCCTTATGTATATATATATATTTTAAACTGGTGTAAGGCGTGGTGTTGGCAACCCGCGGCTTTTCGAAGGCAGCACCGATCCATTTACTTGGGGCGGTGTACCCCTTTCCGTGATTAACGATCAGCGGGGATAATCCGTTTGACGCGTCATTGTGCCAAAGCGTGCTCACGACGCTTCGCGCGTCTATCCACTTGCAGACGGTATAAAGTACACGTGCGTCAGCAGGCGTACACTGACACAGACAGCCTTAGAACAGTGAAGCCATAGCCGTGTACAGATCCTATAGCACTCATTGTTGCCACTAAGTTGCGGCAATGTTTTGAGCATTGCCTACGCGTAGCTTATGTCCGCTTTCGGTCGCGCTCCCTCGACATTCAAAGGCAAGATTGCTACAACGTCAAACATTTTTGGCTACGCTGCTTAAAAATTTCTGTAAACATTTAGGACAACAAATGGTTCCCCATCTCTGGGAGCGGGGAAGGTTCGTCGTAGTACCCCTCCCACCTTATTTTAAGTCAATGTCTACTACCCCGGGAAGCCCTTGAAACACGCCGTGCATTTTTTCTTTAGAATTCATAAATAATTGCCCATGGATGACTGCTCTTATCGGACTTGAAAGAGCACTAGTTTTAACTGTAATGTATAAAAAGCTCTAACGCTTTCCCTATAAAAGCTAGTTGTGCCCTTTCGAGCCCATACATTTAGTGGACACATTGCATAACGCAGTCCCACCCGCAGGTCGTGGGATGGAATCCCGGTTGCGGCGGCTGCATTTCCGATGGAGGCGGAAATGTTGTAGGGCCCGTGTGCTCAGATTTGGGTGCACGTTAAAGAAGCCCAGATGGCCCCGCCGCGGTGGTCTAGTGGCTAAGGTACTCGGCTACTGACCCGCAGGTCGCGGGCTCAAATCCCGGCTGCGGCGGCTGCATTTCCGATGGAGGCGGAAATGTTGTAGGCCCGTGTGCTCAGATTTCGGCGCACGTTAAAGAACCCCAGGTGGTCGAAATTTCCGGAGCCCTCCACTACGGCGTCTCTCATAATCATATGGTGGTTTTGGGACGTTAAACCCCACATATCAATCAAAGAAGCCCAGGTGGTCGAAACTTCCGGAGCCCTGCACTACGGCGTCTCTCATAATCATATAGTGGTTTTGGGACGCTAAACCCCACATATCAATCAATCAATGCATAACGCAGGCCCGTAGCCAAAGTGATGCCTTTGCCGCCCACCTTCATAAAATAAACAAAAAATATAAAGAACTCGTGGAGGGGGTGTTTTACCGAAAATAAGTAATGAGAAAATGTGTTTTAAAGTAGTCAAGGTCTTCAATAAGTGCCCCTGCTCCCCCCGCCTTGTGTGACAGCAGTACTCCCTGTGCTCCGAAGAAACAGTTCAGAGGTTAATTGGGGTTGACGGATGTAATCACGCCTAATTTTTGGTCTGTGGATCTGTGCTCGGCTGCTGACCCGAAAGTCGCTGCTTCGATTTCGGCCAAATCCTAGAGAGATACTGCGCGGTGTCGGTGCACGTTTAAAGAACACCAGATGACCGAAACTACCCGGAACCCTTCCGCTGCGGCGTCCTTCGTAATCATGTAGCGCCTTTTGCTACGCGAAGCTCCAGGGCCCCAATTTGCGACGGAGCTTGGGAACTGGGTCGGTCTCTCCGGCTCCCTTCTTCAAGACCGCCGCTTGAGCTGGGAGTCCGGGCTCCGCCTGGACTGTCGCATTCGAGCATGGTCGCCGATCGTAGTCCAAAAAAACTAAATAAACGCCTTTACAAATTGGTGGCAGTGGAGAGTGCTGTGTACTCGAAACAACTTCGGTTCCCCCTTCCGCACCCACGGAGCTTCGATCCCGTACTCTGCCATCTACTATGCCTCGGGACGCTGCCCAGCAAACGCCTCCTCCACCCGCAGCGGCCCACTATTGAAGGTGCTAGAGGGGAGGACCCTTACAAGGGTTCCGAAGCTTCGCTGCACTCTTACTACACAAGATTTGCTCATGCATCGGCGGTGTTTCAACGCAGTCCCCGCAAGTGTTTGCTCAAAACCAAAATGAAGCGATGACGTGCCTCCACACAACCTTTGGTTCGTGACTTTTCAACGGAAAAGACTGGAAGGGAACCGTTCTTGGAATGCAACATCAGGGTGTCCTGGAATCGGCTGTCATTATTGTCAAAAGTAAATTTCACTGCAAGGGCGAAGCAGGGAATGCGATATCGAACGGATTTTAATGAGGGAAAATTTCAGACGCCGGAAAACGCCACAAAGAAGACTGTAAAAGAACAAGGAAAAAAACGTGCTTCTTTACGTGCCTTCCTTGTGTTTCTACATTCCTCTTGAGGGGTTTTAAGCGTCTGGAATTTTTCCCTAATGATGATGTACCAACTAACCCGGCAAGAAGTACTTCTAGATTGTAATGTTATACGAAGCGAGGCTGGCAGCTAACTCTTTGAGAGTTTTGTTTTGCATTCGCAAAACAAAACTCTCAAAGAGTTAGCTGGTGAGATCCGATCTCACCGCAACTCTACAAAACGGTGGTTTATAATAGAATAGAATGCGGCCGCTTCAGGGACGCTTTTCGCATAATCTCTTCGCGCTGATGCCTTGCCAAGATACGAGATATGGCGCGCGCCATCGATGGTGACCGCACCCGAAAATCAGTTCAGTTTCTGCTCAAGCCAGTCCCCCCCCCTCACACACACACACCCTCGTGTTTTCTCACACGGGCAATTTCCGAAGCCCTCCACTACGGCGTCTCCCATAGCCATATGGTGGTTTTGGGACGTTAAACCCTACATATCAATTTCTCACACGGGCGGTGCGTTTTCTCTATAGTTGAGCCTTCGACGGTATAACTGGGGGATCTTATTGCATTCGCCCTCTGAACGACGGATACCTAATTGTACGGAAGTG